GAATTAATCCTTAAAGCGATCGCTTTAGATACTTCAAAGTTGTTATATGCTGAGCTACTACAAAAACTCTCCAGCTATGGAATCTCGGGTAGGTCCCTTAAGGTCGTTGGCGAGGGTCTTTCGTTCACCCCAGCTCTCAAGTAGAATTCGAATATACGATCTATCGCTCTAGACGCTGGATAAATGATCGGCTCTTTATACTCTGCCATGCTCCATTTTTTTTTTTTTTTTTTTTTTTTAGATCAAATCAGACCGACAAATGGAGTACTGCTATCATATCCGGGGTAGAGTTGTCCAATCCTCACTTTCCAGCTTTGACTGAGTTAAAAACAAAACTAAAAGAAGTGGTCTTGTGGGTGGTAAATTATTTTCCATCTTACAACACTTTTCCCCACAAAAACAACGTTGCAAGCCTATCGCTATTTCCATGAAAAATGTTCCGACGCGCTAGATTTTCTTGTTCCTCTAGTTCAGACCTTCACAGCTAAGACCGGCCATGCCACATGCACAGACGCGAACTATCTTCATTCTCCTCGTCTACCATTGATAAGAAGGAAATTCTATTCTGGCATATTTTCCAAAAGTCTCTGCTCTGTAAACAGATTTCCGAGAGGAGGACGCTTCCATGACCGATGCGATCTTAACCGATTCAAATCGTTATCCATCCTACATATCCTCATAAACTTCAGTTCTTACATTCATAAATCAACCCCCATTCAGTAACCCTGAGCTTTACATAAGTAAACGATAGCGTAAAGATAAAAGTAATAGCATAGACGTTTTACGTTTGGCAGATTCGGTTATGAACAGAGCGAAATTGTTCGCTTTTCTCAATACTTTAAGTGTCTCGGGAAAATTTGAAAACGTCAGCGTAGATCATGTCACCTACTTTTGCTAAAAAGGAAAATAAACTTTGTTACTGAATAACTTTTTGATATTTTATTTAATTACGACATAAATCATCGCGAGTGATTGTATGATTGTGAAAAGACTGCTTTGCTGTCATCTGGTGGAGATTATCAAAGGTGGAATGAATACTTTCTAATGTTCAATACAAAAGATGAAATGATAAGCAGTCAGTTTTTATATAAAGTTGTAGGAAGTAAGAAAAAAATCTTATTTATTGCTGTTATTATCGTTGTTAACAGAAAAAATACTATCATCACTTGAGGATTTTCAATGACAATAACAACTATAAATGAATATAATATGTAACTTGAAGAGAAAATCACATAATCATATTTCAAATAAAACGCTTAGGAAAGACCCCCCCCCCACACACACAAAAAAAATCAACACTGGAAAGAGCAATAACAGCCACTGGACTTGAGAAACCTATTTTCTTGAAAAACTGTTTTAAGAGAAATATTTTATAAATTTCAAATGAAAGTAGCGTTGTCTGCTCAGTTAAAGAATGCTAAATGTTTCCTTATAAGGAAACAGTTAATATTATCATTATATCTTTGACATTATTTGCTTTTCTGTTGAATTCCCAGGGGATTTACTTTCAAAGCTTTTCACTTTAATTTTTAGACGAAAGATGCTTTTGAAAGTAAATGAAACTACTTTACACAGATTTTGAACACATACCGATATCAGTTTTGCTAGACAGACCCGCCTCTCGATCGATTTATTCTTGCCTGTGCCGTGGGTGGAAGCCAACCTCTGAGCATTAAGCACATTCTCTATGGCCTGTGTTCTTGATAAGTTCATATCTCACTTTCAAATACTGCCAAAGTTTCGCTAAAAATGAGCAGACATGAAAGAAATGCCCAAAATTTAATAAAAACAAAGTTTCATCATTAAAATCTTTATTAAGAGAAAAGACCAGAGGATTTTTTTAATGTAATTTATATTTTTTTTAATCCTCTTTAGAACTGAAGTTAAATCACTATCCGTGGGAGGATCAAAGATCAAAAGCTGGGGCCGTAAATGCATCGGTCGCACATCGAATCAAAGCGTGGGTCTACTCTTTATTACTATTTCCAATATACAAATGACCAATAGTATTAAAATTAATATCGTCACGCATGCGTAGTGGGACGGTTGCAAATGGCCGCTCCTTTACATGTCAAACGGGTACGAGCCAGCTTCGTCCGGCTAGGTAAGTTCATTCTCTTGCTGCAAGAACCTTCGAAATTTTAGCTAAAAATCTTGTTTTTTCTGGCGTTAACGTAGGGTCATAAATGTGAATGGGCAATTTGAGCTTCTTTTTGGGGTTTAAAACTCAATCGTTTGGAAATTCTGGCAAAAATCAGATAATTGTCTGATTTTAATGAAACTTTCAGGACTTATTCACAAGTAAAATAAATATTTTTGCATTTATTACCCCACAATTTTTTTTATTTTATGAAATTTTGAGAAATTCTTTTTTGTAGTATTTAATATTTAGTTATAAAAACAAGTACTCGGATAACTTAAATCATCCAATTTTTCGGTCAAACAGGAAAAATTAAAGAAAGTCTGCTCTGAAACTTAAAATAAAAATGCAATATAACTAACATATTATTTAATTAGAAATGCTCTTAATCGCTTTTATAAATAAAATATATTATGGACACTATTATCTTAAGAAAATTTGTTTTTTCGAATTTTTACAAGAATTTTCATTTTTTGACATTTTAATTAGAATAATTTATACTCTTTTAAAGTTTTTTTTTTAAAATTATGTATAAATTTGTAGTGGCCAAGTGACATTATTAAATAAAAACTATATTTACTAATCATAAATGGAAAGCTCTCTACAATTCAACAACCCCCAGTATTTTAAAAAGAATTTTTATTTTATGTGAGTATAAACATGTTGATTTTTGTAAATACGGACGTCCGTACACGACATTACCAAAATATGAAAGTGGTAACTATAGTAAAGTTAAAATTTATTGGTAATTTTCTGACATTTTTTCAAAAAGCGTCTTTGTAAGTAAGACTATATGAAGACAAAGTACCTAAAATTCAATAAAATATTAGAATGCTTAAAAAATTTTAAATTTTTAAGATTATTTTGTTTTAAAAAATTATCTAAAAAAAGGTGTTTACATTGTATTCGTCATTACTACAATTACTTCCCCTTACATAAATCTCGTAAACATCAGGTTGTCGATAGGTGTGTCAACACCTCCATAAAAATCCCCACTACCGTGTTAAAAAATGCTTTTCTGTGATATTTTAAACTAAAAGTAATATGATTTAATTCAGTTTAATTAAACTTTAGATTGATTAATCTCCCTTAAAGTTTCAGAAAATTAACTTTATTTTTGAAAGAGAATTTTTATGTTGATAGCTTTGTCAATATGGACGATTTTAATTCGATTTGAAATGCAGCCAACTATTATGCTCATTTGAAATATTAACTTGAATCTAAAAATAGAATAAAAGCTTCAAGAAAGATTTTTTTAATTTTTAAAATTCCTTTTAAACCTTAGCTGTCACTTTTCTTTTCTTGGGCGGGAACCTAAGCAATAGAATAGATAAACATTAGAAAATCGGAGAAAGAGTAAATTAATGTCGCTTGATAATTTAACGTAGTCGTCATCATTACGTCAATGATTTCGTTTCAGTCATGGAATGCTGGAACGCACACTTGCAGTCGCTCGAAATCGGTCCCAACAACCCAGGCGACTTCCTTTTTTGCACTGTCACATGGCCCATTTTTTTACCCCTTCACGTGCGCATGAATTAAAACCGAATCGAGAGCAGACAATTGTTTTTGTAACGCTACAATGTGCCACCCAAGGTTCAATTATTCGAATGGCTGGTAAAGCATAACATTCCCCCACTATATTAATAGGTTCGGGCACTTCAACGGCGTGTAATCGGTAGCAAGCTTTTTTCGCTAGATCTTCTTACAACTGAATAAGGAGTTCGCTCCTCGCTGGCCACTCCATACTTTTGGATTTATGCTACATCTAAGCCTACGCTAAGTAAATTACTTTATTGAGATGCTAAGGTAGAATTCCCTCTCCGACATTTTATTTGTTATCTTACAAATATTATTGATTTATTGTAAGAACTCGGCAACCAAATGGATTTCATTGAGAAAAATAAATCAGAAAATCTATATTCTCCCATTGTAGAACGAGAATAGGACGCTATGCCCGAGACGGCAAATGTAGTACCTTGGTAATAAACATCCCCAATAGTCTGCAGTAGATTTTCTAAGAACTTCCAGTTATAGAATTTAAATTTATTCCAAGTGTAAGTTTTAATGCTAAATATTCATCATTGCTAAAGAAAAAACCTCATTCGGCCATTTTTAATAATGAAAATCCGAGATTATTGTTTTCTTGCTTTACAATAGTCCCCCACCCCTAAAAAAAAAACTTACTAATGCGATTCAAAGTTTTTCCCTAATTATTAAGTTCTTTATTTGATGTTAAAATAAGTAAAATTCTATAGGTAGATAATTTAAGATAAAATTCTGTCAATCTAAAGAAAACCTTTCGATTGGCCGATGAAATAGGTGTCATCAAGTCAATTTTGCAAATTTTCAACTCACCCTCTGTAATCCGTAAGTTTTAATATAAAAAAGTCACTTTTCATTAGCAGCTTATATATATGTGTGTGTGTTTCCCAATTATTTGAACAAGCAAGGTGAATGAGATTTTACTTCATTTCCACACATGATTTTTAAGGAAATTTTAACAATGTCTCTAAATCTGAAATGAATGTGAAAAAGAAATATTAAATAACGATGAGTATTGTATAATTCCAATAAATGTTTCTCGTTAAATTATCTCTATCAGTGGTAAGTTTTATTTCTACGACTAAAACCAACACTAGTATTGTGTGCCAAAGTTTATCCATCTTTCTATAGATAATCTCCTCAAATAAACAATTTCTAAACTCTAACGACCAATTTAGTCTTCCAAAATATGTTTTGAATATTGGTTAGAAATATTCCAATTTATCTCCACAATCGGCTGTATTTATCTTTTTGATTTTGTTGAGTTTTTTTTTTTACTCTAGAAATTAAGACTTTCTTTTCTGATTCTTTACAGGTAAACGATGGATATCCTCAAAAGAATTCGCTAAGCGAATCTCAAGATCAACTTCAGGATGATTCTTTATCGAGTGACTCTGATCGAGGACAATGGGGCAACAAAGCAGAATTCATGCTCTCTTGCGTTGGCTTATCGGTTGGTTTGGGAAATGTGTGGCGATTTCCTTACTTGGCCTATAAACATGGCGGAGGTAATTATCCATGGGCGTGTGTGCGCAAGCGTGCTATAGTAGAAAAATTCAGTAATTTCTTTTTAAATTCAAATATATAAAAATGATTCCTAAACAAAGAAATTGTCCGTTATACATCTGTCCCCTTTGACAGAAACAAAAATCATTGAATATCCGTTTTCCTACGATTTAATTCATTAATTAAACTAAAACCCTTTGGCAATGTTTTGGAAATTCTGAAGATTTAGGATTCTATAATTTGTCGATGTGAAGCGCGTTACTAGTTTAACAATAAAATGAGAAAAAGAGTGAAGTAAGCTCTGGTCGTATAACAGAAAAGTGTTATTCTTTTTACATCGATTGGCTTCAGAAATTCTTGTGACTGGTGACCCAAATAAATTGCTCAGAGAAAGAAAAATTGTACCGAATAAACGTTTTGCGTACTGAGAAGCTGTTGATAGTGAACTTTGTCACAGATTCAATATCTATTTTCTTTGACATCGGATGTGCGGATGGTTTAACGGATAACGACTTGGAATGAGAAATCTGAAAGCAAAGTTCGAATTTCGGTTAGTGTCCTTACGTTCACTTACGCTCAAATAGCATTGAGGAAAGGTAGGAATCCATTTCCTCTTCCTGGCTATGGGTTAAATAGGATCTCTATCCAGAAAAATCATTAAAAATATTGATGCAATATTCATCGTAAGAATAATTCTTAAAATCCCAAATATGTTTCGGTTTTAAATAACTTATAATGGGTTGATAAACCATAAAAGAACAAATCAATCGATTTACATCAACTATCTAATAAAAAAAAAACCGAGCGAATAAATGCAGATAATGTGACGTCCATTTTTCCCATTGTTGTTTAAAAATTTAATTTTTCTTTCGTGTATTGCAATTACAATAAAATAATTAAGTAAAAAAAATGCATTAATTTAGGTACCTCCACGAGATCGCTAAAAAAAAAAAAAGCATAGCATGAGGAAAAAGACGCCAAACTTGACGAAAACAAAATTTTATCGTCTAAATGTTTATTATTAAGAGGAAAGATCAAAGTATTTTAGTGGTATTTTTTTTAATTTTTTAATCGTTCCTAGCACGTCCGAAATTTTCGTTGAAAATCTTTTTTTTGAGTCAGCAAAATTGACCATTTTTTTCCATTTTATAAAAAAAACTCGAAACCTCACTTTGAAATTCTTTTAAATATCAATTATCATTTTTTTAAAAACTTATTTTAAGAAAATCAGAAATTATGATGTTTATTTAAAATGTTTTGAACCAATCTTAACTTCGCTTCTGCGCCGAAAAGATGTAATATGAAAATAAAACAAAGCCGATCATAAACTTTCGCGTCACTTGACAGGTGATGAATGATATATTGACGGATTCCGTGAGGATAATTTGTTCTACGGAAGGAAAAAAGTGAAATAATTTACATTTAAGTGAACAAATTATTTACCTCGTTATTTATAAGGAAAACTTTCAGCGCACAAAATTTTTTTTTTTTTTTTTTTTTTTACTTAGCTTTCACCTTTACGTCTACGGTGCTTTATGGAAAATATATTATAAAGAAATTAAAATAGGAGTGAGATTAAATTTCATATTTCATAAGAAAGGTATCTAATTAATTTATAGGTACCTTTCTTATGAAATTTTATCAGTGTACATAAAATACTATAATTTTATGTACATTTATTACATTTTACTGTCTTATTTGTCATTTTATTATTAATTTTGATATTTCATTTATGGAAAAATGTCATAACTGCGATTAATATAAAAATAAGATCATATAAATTTCATAAGATTATACTGATACTTGTAGGTACCCTTCTCAGTTGAAATTGAAAAATCAAATTAACTTCTCCACACGTGTTTCGCAAAAGTAAAGGCCTTAACAGCGGAGAACAATGCTTAACTCAAATAACGCAACTTAATTGTATTCTGGTTGGTCTTCCGTACTTTATAATTACAGCCCGATTATAAACACAAAATTACACTTCTTAATTACTGCGGATCTTCTGATTAGTCAAAATGATACAATTTACAACGCGCTAAAATAAGATCTCTTAACTAATTTTATAATATTTTAACAACTTAAAATGTAAAAATCTATTATATTTAAGAAATAACAAATAATTGTATTAAAAATTCATTTTTCATCGAAAAAATTTTTTGTTTTCAGAAAATATTGTCCATATTCATAAAAACAACTAAAAGCAAATAAAAGCATTTGAAATTAAATAATATCTTTGTTTTGAGTTTTGTATGTTACAATTCAGAGCTGATTTTCAGGTGGTGGGTCCAATTAAAAACAAACAAAAAAAAAAAAAGATTTACATTCCTCAAAGCCTTGTGCTTTTAACTATTGTAATCACTAAACCCGATGCGATCGAATTTCTAGCGTTTTCATAAAATTAGTTAGTGGGTAATAAATATAAAAAATATTTCTGCCATGACTTTAATAAATAAGAAAAAAACATATTTATAATAATTTCGATCATCTGTGAATAGTTCCTGAAAGTTTCCTTAACATCCGACAATTATTTTTATTTTTTCAAGATTTTCCAAATTAATGTGTGTCATACCAAAAAAACGTGCTAAAAATTGTATCCGTTATTTTACTAGTTCCGGTGATACAAAGAGAAACAAGGTTTTTTTAATCAAAATTTAAAATGTTCTTAAAAGAAGGAAAATGTTTTAAAAATAATTTAAAAAAACTTTGTTTTTTTTCCTCTTAATAACATAAGCATTTAGACGATAAAATTTTGTTTTCGGCAAGGTTGGCATCTTTTTCATCAAGCTATGCTCTTTTTTTTCTTTAGCGACTTCGTGGAGGTACCTACGTTAATTTGAGAAAAAAAACTACTTAATAAAGTAACAATTAATGTGTTGTGCACATGTAACTGGAAGGTAAAATAATGACATAATCGAAATGTTGGCTTTTCACACAACCTTTAGGCAAAAAGGTTAGTAAGAAAACTTCCTATCAATATTAAAGTGATGACAATCAACCTGAGACATCAATTTTCCTGAACAACTGTTTTTTAAGAGTCACCCTAAATATTCGGTCAATGAATGTCAAATCTTTTTTTCATATGGAAACGCCCAACTCACCATTTAACATTTTACCGTATTGATAACGAAGCTTGCGTTAAGCTTGGCGTCTTTCAATATTTTGTTTGTATCGTATTCCGTATGTGACTATTATATAAACGACAGAATGTGATTCACTGTTAACAAAATAACAAATGATATTAACTGGATAATGAGGAAATATAACGACTTCCGTTAAACAATGGTGATTGAACTGTAGACAAGAATTAGAATTTATCAACCAATTTTCTCAAAAAACGTTTGAATGGTATTAACTTTCCGTCGCATATAAGGTTTTTCTGTGGCAAATTCAGAAAATAAATAAATTATTTTTAACAAGATTTCGAAATGGACTTTTTACTGATATTATTCTTTTTAGTCTATGGATTCTACCTGAACAATTTTTCTTTTACGATTATTTTACCGTTTCTTATTCTTTATTTTCCAGCCGCCTTTCTTCTTGCCTACTTGGTTTTGCAGCTACTAATTGGCAAACCTTTGTATTTTATGGAATTGGCGATGGGACAGTACTCTTCCAAGGGGCCTACTGGGGTGTGGTCAATGAACCCCAGTGCTAAGGGTAAGCAGAATATTAGATGTATTTTTATTTATTTATTTTCAGCAAAGACCTTTTACGTGTCTCGTGCGAGGAGTGCTGAAAAGTTCTTAGTCGGACTGATTTTTCTTTTTTGATGTTTGGTTATTTGACTAGAATTTAGGACAAAAGACGAGATTTTTTTTTCAGTGCACCTCGCGTATACGCGTGTGCGTGAGTAACATCATAATTTTTTAATGTTAAAAACAAAACACATTAAGAACATTGATCTATAACCTATCTTTTTAAATTGGCCGGGAAAATGCCAAATCTATGCAAAAACTTTAAGTCGTTAAATTTAAATCATCATCAAAATATCTTATTTAGTAACTGTGATGTTGTTAACGTCACCAATAGACACGTGTGCTTATAAACACCAAGAAGAAGCTATTGTCGGATTGTTTCATAAAGTTTTTCACGTTGATTTCTTTCATAACAACCAATGCCCCTCCCCCATCTCTTTATCTCGTGTTCGATTTAGATCCGCATTCTTTTCTAAGTAAACATTTTGGAAACTTTTTAAAATGTCTTGGCAAATATTTGTTTCTCATAGTATAAAAGTTTCTTTCATCAGGTGCAATAAGTTAGGATTCAAAAGAAACATGTTCCGATAACCCTTTCAAATTCACATTCGCCTAATTGATGTATACAGCAAAAAATATTATTGTTCATTTCAGTAGACATATCTAAATGATTTTAATTTATTCAAATAATATTATTGAATATATTATAAATATAGCAATGGGGCAGTATGTTCCGTTTTTTTATCCCTTATCAATGCATTTTGGGGACAATTATGTCCCGCAGGACGCGTTGAAAATATCTGTGGGACACATACGTCCTAGGGAACTCGAAAGGGTTAAAGTAGGTACCCATAAAGATTCGCTAAAAATAAGCATACCATGATGAAAAAATGTCCCAAGCTTAATAAAAATCTTTATCATTAGGAGGAAAGACTTTTCATTATTAAATTATATTTTTTAATGTTTTTAGAACCTTCGAACATTGGGTTAAAAATGTTTTTTTGTTTTTTTTTTCTTGTCTAAACAAGTGGCCATAAATTTGAGTTCTTTTTATAGTGAAAAACACCTTGATTTAGAAAATTTTGCAAACATCAAATAATTGTCTGATTTTAATAAAACTTTCAGAATTTATACACAAATAAATGAAATTATTTTAGAAACGTTTCTTCTTTTTAGAAAATCTTGGTAAATTTTTTTTTTTTTTTTATTTTATAAAATTTCGAGAAATTCATTTCTGTAGAGCTTAATGTTCATATTAGTTATAAGCACAAGTCCTTGGAGAATTTAAATCATCAATTTCTTTCTCTCAAACTGACCTCTCCACACCTTACAGAAAATATACCATAAATCTTAAATTAAAAAATGCAATAAAGTTAAGACATTATTTGATTAGAAAAACTTTTATGAATAAAATATATTATAGACACAACTGTCTTAAAAAGATTTTCGATGAATAATAAATTTTTACATGAATTTTTTTCATTTTAAAAAGATTTTAATTAGAATAATTTATAAATTTAAAAAAAATTAAATCCTGTATTAGTTTATAGCGACTGTGTGTTATTGTTATTAAACAAAAATTATATTTATTAATCGTAAATGGCAAAGCTTACTACAATTCAATGACTCCCCAGTATTTTAAAGTAATTTTTATTATTTTATGTGTGTAAACGTGTCGATTTTTGTAAATACAGATATGCATACACGACATTACCAGAAAATAAGAGCTGTAACATTAAAATTTATTGGTAACTTTCTAGCATGTTTCCCTAAGTAAAACTATAAAGCCAAAGTACCTAAAATTCAATAAAACATTTGATTGCTTAGAATATTTCCTGTAATTTTTAAGATTACTGTGTAGTAAAAAAATATATATAAAAAAATGCGTTTGTTATATTCTTCAAATAATTGTTACAATTATGTCCTCCTTAGAAAAATTCATTAACATAAGTCTATCAAGAGAGTTATCATTACTTCATAAAAACATCCATCTCCCTGTTAAAAATGTTTCTTCTATAATATTTTAAATAAAAAGTAATATTTGTTTCAAACCAGATGAATTAATCTTTAAATCGTGTAATCTTCCTCAAATAAAGTTTCGGAAAAGTATATTTTATTTTATCTTTAAAAGATTTTTTTTTAATAAAGGGAATTACGTTGTGTTGACAGATTTGCCAATATGGATGATTTTAGCGTTTTTACTGATAATTAAAAAAAATCTCATTCCAATCAATTCAGTTTGAAATACAAAATATTTGCTTATTGGAAATTTTATCTATTCGCTTGAAATTAAAACTAAAATAAGATTCAAGAAATATCTTTGTCCTCATCTTTGTGGATAAAGGCGTTAGTTAGATCCAGTGACAGAACCCAAAGAGTGAGTTCAATACATGGTTAAGGTGATGGAAAACTTGGAGAGAGGAATTAACAAGAGATAACTGATAACCGACATCCATTAGACATGGCACGTGGAACTAGAACAGTCTACCCCAGTGAGCGAAATAAAGGGTTCAGTCCGGCATTCCAACCACCTGAAAAAGGCTGGGGCGTACAACGGCCCAAACGTAGTAATAAATATGACGACAAAAATGAGGACAGTAGTCCGAATAATGTAAATAACCTAAAGATAATCTTTATAAAAAGAAAAATAAATTTACCGATGTAAATAAAGTTTTAGGCATTTAAAAACATCGGCACATTTACTCGTCACTCCTCCAATCACCATTATAGACAAAAAAAATTAACAAATTTAAAAATCTCTTTAAAATTCAGCATTTGTCCAAGAGATCATTCAAAGTAAATGACATACTGGTGTGTCTATTTACATTTATATCTCGGTCAGCGTATGACCTTTTCAGCCGACACTAAGTGTTGCGTAGTCCCACTTTTGGGGGTGATCTCATCTAATCTTCTCTCGACCGGCGATCGCTAATTGATTTGGTTCAGCAATGAAAGACTTCAAACAGAAAATTTTAACTTAATATTACTCATGTCGACATGTACATTATTTAACTAATCCAGTGGGGGTCGCCTCCATCTCACTGGGGAGCCGTTTCGGGCATGAAAGCGAACACGTTTACACCGCTTGACTGGTAAGAACCAACTCGCTGAAACCTTTCTCTATCTATGGTTCCTACGCTAGCACAGCCAATCAAAATTGACTTCCCTATTATGGCTCACATCTGACCCTGAATGTCAACCTCCGGAAGTCGAAGCCGAGATACACTTCGCCTAAAAATAATAATCTGCTAAACTATTATTTAATATAATGGTTAACTGGGTTTTGTAAACGTAATGCTTTCTTTTTGCTTAAGACCAAGACAATAACATTTGTTTACGTACGGTAGTCATAGGTCAGCAGCAGTAATTTTCTTATTTCACCTCTGACTTCAAAAGTGCGCGAAAAATTAAAGAAATACGAAACACCAGCAATGTAATAAAAAATGTTATTTATGTTTAAAAATAAATTAAGCTTACGGCCATGTCACGTTGAAACACTGGTTATCACCGAATAACCGAAGTTAAGCAACGTCTAGCATGAACCTAGATGGGTGACTGCTTTGGAATGCTAGATGCTGCATGCTTGAATATGCGGGTAATATAATGGATAATAGCTCGGAATTGGAAATCGCAGAGCCAAGTTTCAATTCCAGTCGGGTTCGTTACATTCACTTACGCGCAAGCAACATTGGGAAAGGTATGAATCAACCTCTTCTTCTACCCCCAACTATGGGTTAATTAGTAAAATTTATCAGTAAATCATTATCTCCACAAAATTCTTACAATCTAAAAATATTTTCTAGCTTTAAACAAGGTTGATAAATCGGTAAAAAAAAACAAATTGATTTTTAAACATATAAAACCAATAGTTTATGAATATAATTTTTATTTTTTACGTTTTTTTGAAACTTAGTAGAATTAATAATTGTATTTATATGCTACTTTAGAAGTATAAAAAAGGAATTAATTAAAAAGTAGTGAGATGATGCTTTTGAATTTAATTCATTACTTTTATTTTTTTATGATTTTTTTTCTTACCCGTTTGATGTCATGAAATATTTATTTGAACCCAATTAGATTTTTTACAAAGTTTTAACCTTCGGGTCTGGAAAAAAAAAATGTCAAAAGAACAGATTTTGTCTTGACACCGCCATTGTTACATACTACTTCCACATTCTCGGCAATGTCGATTGTTTTAAAATGTTTAGAATTTTCATAACAACAACAATTTTACACACTATTTAGTTGTTAGATTGTTTATTTACAAGATCATTTTATATTTAAGTTTTTAAAAATATCTGAACCATCTACAATGCAATATTTATTTAGCATTCTATAAAGAAAAAAAGCATGAAATCGAATCTTTCTATTCATAAATGTATAAAAATTCTCTTCTTCTGAACCAAACATTCTTTTAATTTTAGGCGAGATTATAAACACTCATATTATTGAGCGTGTATCTCTCTCTTCAATGTGTGGACAAAGTTTTCCTTGTGAAATTTCTGTGATTTTTGCCGGGTATTCCTTTGATCCTAGAACACAACTGAAAAAATAAATTGGAAAATTAAAACAAGAAACTTTTTATCATTTCATCGCAGGCAAGACGATAAAGACACTGAGACACGAGAGGACTATTGAATGCAAAAGAATCTGGTGTGAAATTGAGTTTGAAAGCATCTGGTGGGGGGGGGGGCTTTATTAAAGAGAGAAGCCAATAAAAACAGGAATGAAGGAGACGGAAGATAACAATTGACACTGCATTTAAAGTTTTAAAGGTCAAAGTTGACTGGAAGCCGGAAGAGAGCTCCACAAGTGAAGGAACTGTTAGGATAGAACTTATGGTTACATGTAGCAATTTCAAGTGTAAAATGACGAGACCTAGCTGCCAATCTAGTACAGCGTTTAAATTCGTAAAGTCAAGGTAGCAAAGAGATCTGCTTCGTCGAGATACACACCGAAATCTGCTTCGTCTTCGTTTATTTACCAATTTTTGACATAATCACTTTATGCGGCAAAACTTAGACATTTTTGTTATTTTAAATCAAAAAATAAGTAACCACAAAAGCTAGCTAGATCGCAAATCTATGTTGGTTGGCAACCTTGAAACTGATGTCGTCTGTGTTATTCAAGTTTCCTCATTTGTTCAAAATTTTAAATTCCTAAAATGTGAGCTAGCTGTGTATCTCTGATTTCATTTTTTTACTTTTCAGGAATCGGGATATCTATGATGTTCATCTCATTGGTGGTTGCAATCTACTACAATGTTATCATGGGCTATACATTGTTTTACTTCTTTTCATCTATGCAAACCACACTTCCTTGGATGGACTGCTCGAAGGTATATACACACACACACTTTTATAAATTTTCAAAATATAAACAAAATAGTTTTCACATTTATGAACGGTGAAAAACGATTTAACCGCTTTTATAAAATCGGTTCACTCAATTCTGTTGTTTTAGTGCCTTTTCATTCTCATTTCATTTTTTTTTTCTTTCATAGAGGTTTTCTTCTAGGTAAGCTAATGTTAGGGTAGCATATGTTAGTTAGTGCCATTTTTGTTCCCATTTCAGTATCCAGGGTTTTTAGATATAGTTTTTGTTGTCAAATTCAAAGGTGTTATTGTTTAGAATTAGGTCTATACTATCGATAATGAATTCTTTAGTGAATCTCGGATGTAGTATTTCTGGATGTTTTTCAATCCAGAAAGAGATTGCTTTTTTTTCCTAGTTCATGGGGTATGTTGCTGTATAGGCTACTAATGTCAAAAGTTGCCATAAGCGTTCCCGGATCTACCTTTTGTGGTATGCAGCTAAGGAAATGGATATCGTCTCTGAGTGGCTTTTAATTTGTTTAGTATATGTTTGCAATATTATGTCTATTATTAGGTTACTGAGTTTGCTATTTAGACAGACTGGTCCTGCTACTATTGGTCTGAATGTAAGGTCACTGGGGTTTGGGATGCTAATGTATTCAGATTTTTGTGTCTAAATAGCTGCTTTTATTTCACTCGATTTGTGAATTTTAGGTAGTCCGTAGAAATTGCTTGTTTTTGGTACAAAGTTTATTAGGAAATCCTTTTTTTTTTTTTTTTTTTTTTTTTTTTTTTTTTAATATTTTTTATGTGTTGTGCAGAGTTTTGTAAATTTTTGTTTTTGTCTATGTTAGTGTCAATTAATTTGTAGTTATTCTTATCCTCTAGTGTTTCTAGAATTTTTGTTTTATAGTATGTTCTGTCCATGATTACTATAGCGCTGTCTTTATCTGCTTCTTTTATAATTATGTTGTTATTTTTTCGGATGCACTCTAAGGCTAGTCTTTGTATGTAAGGTTGTCGAATGGTTTGGATTTTTCTTGAAGGTCGAGATTCTAGAGTTTCTCAAAAAATATATTTAATTCATTGGTATTATTATTTTTGTTTGGGGATAAATTGGATTTGTTTTTTACTAGTGACTCATCTGTAATATTTTCGTTATTATTAAATATTTCTCTTAGTCTCAATTTGCGTTCAAATTCCTTAAGGTCTTTTTTTAGGTCTGCTATATTGCTTTTCGGAGCAGGGCAGAATTTTAGGCCCAATTTCAGTAGGCTGATTTCGTCATTTGTAAGTGTATATGTAGATAGGTTTATATTTTGGGTTTTGTGTCATCTAAACTGGTTTTCTTGTTCGGACTGGGGCTTCTAAAAAAATAATGATTGTTTCTTTTTTAATATATTTCGGGTTTTCTAATAGATACTCTCTACCTGTATATTTTGAGTTTTCTTGCTAGTGAGTTTTTTTTTTTTTTTTTTTTTTTTTTTTTTTTGAGGCGGGGATTGGGGTGGTTGTTTCTCGATGAATCTTATATAGGTATGTTTGTTTGTGTTTTTTTTTTTTTTTTTTTTTTTTTTTAAGGGGGCGTGTTCCAGATGTTTCTAGATTTGTTTTTGTATGGATTGTATGTGGAACTTTTCAGGAAATTCTGATTGTACTCCTGAATATGGTTAATGGTTGTTTGGTTTGTTGAGCTAGGTGGTATTTGTAAGTGTTGGTTTTGTGAATGTGTGTGTATTCTGATCTTTGTCTTTTTGTGTTGTGGTGTGGTGGTCTGTGCAGGTTTGTTTTTTGCACTGTTCAGTGTATGTTCATAATTGTATTTCTTATGTGGGTGTGTTTGTGTGTGGTGGCAGTATGTAGGGTTCCTACCTTGTGGATGTGTTTGCGTATAGTAGAATGTATTAGGATATTTAGTTTGTGAGTTTGTAGATGTTTGCGTGTGGTAAAACAACTCTAATGAACAAAGGTTTTGAAATCGCAAAAAAAATTCCTCTAGACCAACTTAGAAATAAAATGAAACGTAACTTCGAACAAACTCTAGCATATGTCTCAACATACAACTAAAACAATCCAGAACTATTCACAGAAATTACAAAAAATTTAGACCTACTTAGCAAGAATAATAAACTAAAAAATATACTAAAAACAACCAAAATGATTAAAAGCAAACACCAACCTAAAAACCTAAAACACATATTAACCTCATCTAAATTTAACCAACACACAATACAGGGAGTCACAAAATGCAACAAAAAAAGATGTGGGGTTTGTGATATCATTATAGAAGGAAACTCCTACACTTTTGAAAACCCCAAAACAACATTCATAATAAATAAAAACTTAAACTGCAACTTCAAAAATGTGATTTATGTACTTAAATGCACAAAATGCAAGAAGTCATATATAGGTATCAGCCAACAACTGAACAACAGGGTCTCCCTGCACAAAGTAGCATAAAATTACCGAAAACTTTTTGTATCACAACATATCTTCAAATGTAACCAGGGTAAATTTAATATTATGCCAATATACCAAACAGACAATTATTCTTACCTACAAATACAAGAAAAAAAACTTCATAAACAAATTTAAACCAGAAATAGACTATAACCCCACGCGCAAAAGCACACAACATGCACACATGATGATCAATTACAGTGATCAAACCACTCACATATATGCACGCACGCTCACGTGCGAATATATATATATATATATATATATATATATATATATGTTGACAAAAGCAGGAACTACTCACAGGCACGCATACAAAGCCCACACAACTTAGGAAGTACGTGTGTATGTATGTATATATATATATATATATATATATATATATATATATGTGTGTGTGTGTATACTGGTTCCATGTAACTTGGGTAGTATGTGTGTACAAATGTGTTTACTAATTCCGCGTAGTGAGACAGTATGTATGCATGAAGAGGGAATATACACATATACACGCATGCTGACAGAAACACATGAAAATGGAAGCAGATCTAATAATACACAGGGGTCATTAAAACACAAGATACCGATAACTAATTCATCATTTCTCTCGGACCAATCATGTTTTATGACCCTTCGCGCAGAACTCTTCACTGCTAGTTCAAGAAAGAAATTCGAATTACTAACACATAAAAAGAGAATGTCTCATATCAAGAATATTTAACATCGAAAAACATAAAGGAGGAAAAAAAATGAATTATTTTTAATAATATATGGAAATCTCCACCCTTTATCTGATGACGGTCGCGAGACCAGAAACACGTGTAGTAAAATTATGCAAAATAAAGCATATTTTTTTAAAAAAAATCCACATTACAACCAAAAAACGTTTGTGGTATCTGTCTTCTTTTTAATATACACACTTTTCTCTTGTTGGAACTATTATAACCTCTTCCTTTATTTATATATATATATATATATATATATATATATATATATATATATATATAGTATAAAAATCGAATAATTTATTTATAAACAAAATGGGCGCTAGTAACTCCTACAATAAGGACTTATTTACCAATAATGTAAGGAAACATAACAAGCCTTTATGGATCAAATATTGATATTTTTTATCGATCATTCATTCGATTAAATACCCAATCGTAATACATTTATGACGTCCAAAACTTAAAATTTATCCACCTCTTCATGAGGATGAAATATAACACAAAGTTTACTGTCTGACACTTTATGCAAGGGTAGTTACTGAAACTGTGTGGGCACCCACAACACAGGTATAAGAAACTCTGGCTTAATCCTTTAGCTGCAGCCTAGTTGAACGTTCTCTTTAAACTAGACTTCTTTTCTTTTAAAGACACTTAAATGTTGTTGTTTTATTAACTTCATCTGTTTGAATAAAATAGAAAAAATAGAAATGAGATAAAAACAAAGCTTTTGTTTTCATGAATTAAAACCGCAATTTCGACATCTTAAAGCTTTTTTAATCTTTGATTATTCCACACCCTTGTGCAAATAAATTGAAACAAAACGAATAATTCCGTTCTTATTTACTTTTTTCGCATATTTCCAATGAAACATGACTCTGTACACATGTTAGTACTTCGTATGTCCATTCCACGAAATCGTTCTTTGCAGATTCTCGATTGGATTTAAAGCAGAGTTTACGGACAAGTCTATAGTACTTTGAGTTGTTCACTGGTAAGGCTTGCCAGTGTTCGTGCAGCGTTACGATTTTCATACGCTTCCTTGGAATAACGCCCATCGCAGACAATGGCTGTAGGACAGCTAATCGGCAATCGAGCCAATAGTGTCTGGGCGTGATAAAAATCTGATGCAATCACGGATGATATTTTACAAGGCCAAACATATTTCATCATACACCTCGAAAATATTCATATTACTGCACACCACTGCAAACGACCTAATCTGAAAAAAACAGAAATCCACTCCAGTGGGTCTAAAACTGACTGTACAGTGAAAGAAATGAAACTAAAGCGGTTGTTTTAATTAATTTGCACAAGGGTGTATGATAAGAATGATTTCATTGATGAAAGCACCTTTCATGACAATTTATATATATTAATATTTATATCACCTGATAATGATGCAGTGATTTGTAGATGAAACGTTGTAAATCTCTAACACTAAAAACAATTTTTATTTTTCATTTCTCAGTTTCCTGATTATAGCTGTATATCTGAACGAGTGACATGTGTCGGTAACATGACACTCGACAAAGAGGGATGCTTATGTCCGATTAAGACAACAAATAAAACGTGGTACGAGCCAGGTTACAATATAACTTGCAGAAATACTAGTGAAACCTTCTATACTGCTTCAACTTTGTTCTTTGAGTAAGTACCTTCTGTTGAATTTTTAGGAACAATTCAGTTGTTAAAGTGCTTCGATCAACAATGACTGCTTTGTCGCAAAGTTTAAAATATTCGTATCTGTAAAAAAAATAAAAATAAATCTTTAATTAACTAATATTGATAAATCATTTTCATAAATAAATCTGGAAATTGTACTCAAATGTTTAACGTTTACATTTCAGTACTTTATCACACTTACGACTTTAGACACATTCTCGCGCGTTTTTTGAAGTGGAGCGTTTCTATGAAACATGGCGTGAAGCGAAGAAGTAATAAGTTGATATGGAAAATAATTTTGCACGTTTCCGATCATAAAAATAATTTCGTATGAGATTTTCGCAATGATTGCAGAAGAGTGTAACTTTAAGTCATAAGTTTCGGTCAGATTTACAGCGAAAAACCTCGAACTTTGTCATCAAAGTAAGCAGACACAGGTTGTTTAGGGGGGATCTGATAACGCTCAAAATATTTTACATATAAATTAGTGGGAATAGCTTCTCCGCTTTACGTCATCATTTCGGATAGTGTGGAAGAACTGTATACATGTAGTTTTTTTGTTTGTTTTTTTTTTTTTTTTTTTTTTTTTTTTTTTTAAGTGGTGTGACTTAAATCGAACACTCGAAAAGCGGAGGAAAGGATAATTTTATTCTCATTTTTTATTGAGACTAATGAAGATTCTCCTGACGATTAAGGTTAATTAATCTCAAAATTTAGTTATAATTTCAACCTCTTATAAGATAGTCTTCATTCAGGAAATATGAAGTCACATTTATTTTCGGCATAAGAACTGCTTTAATGTTTTGGAAACTTAAAGTGATTGGCCAAAACCTCGTCAAATGAATTTCTATTGATGTCCGTTCGGATCACAGTTGAAAACTTCTATACGAAAATGTTTACATTCATAACGTAACAATAAATGTAATCTCGTGATTTTTACCTAGACGCTAATTTTTGTGTGGCATGAACGATTTCTAAAATATTAATTAGTTTTAATTTGTACAATACTCTAGAAAAACTTTTATCAATGTAACAGCCGCGCTAAAATAATCAAATACAAATCCGCTACAAATTGCTCATGGCGTTAGTAATCAATTAAAAAATTTATTAATGCAAAACATTCGGACATAAAAAAAATGGCGGCTCAAAGGGCCGTAAGTTGTCCATCAGATAAGCAATTAAATAATTATATATTTATTTAGGACTTTTTGAAAATAATAATTAAAAATGTTATTTCTTTGGCATCTAAATATTTTCTCCGTCTTTGCTTAACATGTTTGTTTATTTTTATTTCACGTTTTTGAAAGACTTGAAGTCATTCAACGTTCTAAGGGACTGGAACCGGAAAACATTGGAGTTCCCATCTGGAAGCTGGCATTGTGTATGCTTCTCTCCTGGATAATTGTTGTCGCTTGTCTGTACAAAGGAGTCAAATCATCTGGAAAGGTAGGGACTTCAGCATAGATAACAAAAATAAATACACGTCACCATTTTCAAACAAATCTCTTTATCATCGATATACACAATTTCTGAATGGTTCTTGTATTAATGAAGTTTGGGACTTGTCATTAGCATTTCTGAAGATTGTTCTTTTAGAATTTCATGGATATTGTTCCCTTTAATTCCGACAAAGTTCAAAGCAGACACTTGATTTTCTTACAGCTCTCAGTCTTGTTCGTCCAGTGACCACATATGGCGCTTTGTGTGTCGTCATCTCGTAATTACTGCAGTGTATGCTGTTTTGATCCAGCAGTTTTGTAAAATTCCGCATCGCATTTACTTATATTTATCGCTAATAAGATTTTCAAGTGTGAGTATCGGTAATCTTCTAAGCCACCATCATAACTTCTTTTTATTATATCAAGATGAACTTGAAAACTCGCCAACAGTGCAGAAGCTGTCAAATGTATATGATTTTTTAAAAATAGCAGAAAATATTTCAATTCTTTACAGAGATCCTGTAATCCTAATAGCCCTCCCCTTTCAGATCTTTAATCTTATAAGGAAAGAAAAAACTTAATTTGTCACGTTGGTAGTAGAATTACGTTTCAAAATATTTAGAAGACTCAGTGCTGTATTTGTTTATTTTAATAAATATATCTCTAATTCATTTCTATTAATAAACTGTGTTTTAGTTTCTTTAAAGATTGGAGATTTACACATCAATGTATCCTGTGTGCGCTTAAATTTGCTTTTTTTATATTAATTTTTTCCTTTATTTTTAGGTGGTCTATTTCACAGCTACGTTCCCTTATGTAATTCTGATAATTTTATTAATTCGTGGGGCTATCTTGCCTGGAGCTCTCGACGGGGTCAAGTATTTCATTGTACCTGAATGGGAAAAATTTTCGGATATTACAGTGAGTAAACTATTTAATTAAGTCAAAAACTTTGGTAATTACATTTTTCCCTCCATTTTAATTTAAAATTCTTTCATTTATCAAGTTCTGTACAAGTTAAAATTCCTAAAGGTCAATTACATATGAAGAAACTTTTTCATTTGTAATTGACCCTTATGAATTTTAACCTCTATACAGAACTTTACAATGTCATGATGAATTTGTTTTAGTTCTTGAAAAATGTCACCCTCAAACCGAGAATTCGGTTTTCTATATGTACAATAAACGTAAACATTGTAAATATTTCAAAAGCTTTATTTTTCAATTTGCTAATGAAGTAATTGAATAATATTTATGTATTTTAACGCATTTAACAGTTTATAGCATAGTATACAAACTTACAAATAGCCAAAAACAAGTTTTAGAAGGTTCCAGAAATTACTACTATACTTATATACGATTTTAGAAATTTCGAGTTGAGTGACATTTTTTAAATAAACTGAATTAAACTCTTCTTTATTTTTGAGCAAAAGTTCATCGAATTATGATACAGGAAATGAATTATTTTACAAAAATCATAATTCTATTGTATATACATAAAGGGCCAGAAATAATAATAAAAAAGATTCCTTAAGTGAAAAAGATGAAGTTGTTGGCTAAGTGTTGGAGTAATGAAGCAAGGGAAAAACAACAGTTATGTCGCCATAATGTAAAGGCCAGCACGGGGAATAATATGGCGTATCTGATTGATGTGACAGCCAGTGAAAAGAGCAGAAAGATTTCTTTTCATCACCAAACAGCTGGCTAATAAATACTGTATCCCATTTCCTTTTGTCAACGACAGATAATTGAAGTACATTGGAAATATTATATTCATTATTCCTTGAATTAGAAAATTTATTGTAAAATATTTTATTCCTTACGATTGTTAGTAGATTGCTTCCTTACATGTTTAAAAAAGTGATTTTCTAATGTCATTTGATCGGGTAAAGCTTTAACGGTTATAACTTGCTTCAGAGATTTCGTTTCTACTGTTGATTAAATTCAGTATGTGAAGTAACATGATTAAAAAGATCTTCGTTGAATAAACATTGAAAAAGATTACAATTCAGAATAAGACAGTCGATAATCACTTGTAAAGTAAATCAAATTTTCAGTTAAGAAATTTTTACAAAACTTATATCTACACATTATATAAAAGCCGTTGTCAGATTTTGTCGAGTTGTTTTTTTGTTCTATTTTTGTTTTTTTGTTCTATTTTTGTTTTTTTGTTGTTGGTTGTTGTTTTTGTGCTAAAATCATTTCTGTTATGATTCGAACATCTGACGTAAAGGCAAGCAACTATCCATTGCTCCACAACCCTGCTGTTTCAATACAAGATGAAATTAATTTTGAAATTACACTGAAAGAAAACAAAAACAGAATAGGTATATTACGAACACAAACAAAAATGGGCTCTACTGTGTGTGTGTGTGTGTGTGTGTGTGTGTGTGTGTGTGTACTGTGTGTGTGTGTGTGTGTTCGCTGAAGGCAGGCAAGAGCTGATGATAATATTACAACGACTACTGCTGATGTCTCATTTCCGTTGATATATTGCTTTTAAAATTACTTAAAAATAGATGAAGAGTTGTATAAATAGTCAGAAAATTTTCTTTCGGTGTGTTCCTTTGTTGAAAATAAATTTATACTAGGACATATATTTGTATAATTTACCCATCCATAAATAATATAGCCATTTCTTAAAGTACTATAGTAGTAATATAAATTTACTCATTTGTAGATGTGGGTAGACGCCGCTGGCCAGATGTTCTTCTCACTCAGTGTGTGTTTTGGTGGAATCATCATGTTTGGTAGCTACAACAGGTTTCGTAACAACATCTATGCGTACGTATTATTTGTACATTTGCCTAACACCTCTTTTTTTTTTCTCTCATTAATTTGCTTAATATAAAGTTAATGAATAACTTACAAACAATAAAAGCTAAAGGTAATTTGTGCCAATGTGCTAGATTCCAAATCTCCTAACAAAAACGACGTTAAAAAAAAATCTTACATTTCGTAGGAAACTGGAAAATTCAGTCAATTTACTTCCTTCTGTAATAATTTATTGTACATATGACGATCCTGACAATGTAAACAAAAAAAAATGGGTTACTATCCGACTTTGTACATATAATTGATAAAGAAAACAGTCAATTGACCATAAAATTATTTTTTTTAATCCATATCGAATCAGAATACTTATGACAACTACAATGAATAATTTAGTACGTAACATGGCGTAATTGCTTGCTACATAATCTATAATAATTTGAAGCCTACACTAATGTCAAGTGTCCTCAAAAGCTTAAAGGTAATTTTTAAAATCTATTCTTTCTTTAAGAACTTAATATTTTTGATATGGCTATAAAATTGTTTCGAAATCGTTTTCACATACGATCAATGTGTCTACTTTTTAGCCCAATGAAAATGTTTTCAGTAAAATTGTTATCCTGTAGTTGTGCCGACCAAATAAAAGCAACAGCTTGACTTTCTCAGACGTAACATTGCATTTTATTTCACTCCAGACTTCGTTAAATACTCTGTGTGTGTGTGTGTGTGTGTGTGTGTGTGTGCGCGCGCGCGCGCGCGCATCCCCATACTGTCATCTGAACGTGGGCCTTACATTCCCATGTGAGATGTAAGAGATTGTCCATCTCCTCTCTGGGGTGGGGGTATATATATATATATATATATATATATATATATATATATATATATTCATGCTGGCTTCCTGATAGTATAGTACAAGAATAGACTTTGCAGATTAAGTGTAAAGTCTATTCTAACATCACCTGATGTGAGTCGATAACATACAACAAACACAACAGGATTGATTTCGTTGATATTTCGTTTTGAACTTTTTACTTTTAATTTAGAAAAATACCCGTTAAAGATTAACTGCTAACGCAATATTCCTCAACGTGTATTCAAAAAAAAAAATAAAAAATAAATACGCCAAACTGCAATTTTTTCTAAAGTTAATATTAAGCTCCATGTTCAATCACCATTTTGTTTATAGAAGTATTCGCGACTAAATAAACGAGAACTATTCTTTAGTTAACCAAGCTTCAACTACATTTAAAACAGAGTTAGCTTTAATTTTATTTCTACCAATTCCTAATCAGCAAAAGTTTTAGTGTTAATTAAATGATTTTTGAACATACATGCTTACAATTTATAAAAATGCTTTTTGTAATAAAATGTGGAGATGTTTATGATAGAAAAAGAAATTAGAGTAATAATGTTTGCATGAAGTAATGAAACCCGTAAAATAAGTTTTTGTGAAAACTTCTATGAAAGGAAAAATATCGTTATTTCACATGTATATTATTATTGGCGAATACAAATGCAGATTGTCACCTTAAAATTGTTACAAATTGGACATTAAGTTTCTTTATTTTTCAATTTAGGAAGAATAATATCGTTAAAATCGATTAAATTTGGCCAAAAGAAAAGCGATCAGTTTGATAATCGAATTCATTATAAGTAAGCAAAATTGTAGTCTGGAAGAAGTTTTCCCAAACAAAATAATTCCTTCAATTTTATTAATAAGTTTTTTATGAATCAGATTTTCTTACTTTTACAAAACTGTATTTTTTTATGCAAAATAATCCAATGTTACCGCACCTTTATTCCTAAAATTTAAGCAATACATAAAAATTACGTACAGATCAGCAGAACTTTCTCAGAAAAATTCACCAAACCGGTTTTATTTTACATCGATTAAATTATTAAATTGGAAATAGACACAATTTTCTCACGTCACCATAATTATCGAGAAAACCAGTTTGTAACCATTTTTGTTTTTGACAGTTTTTCCTTACAACATTTTCGTTAACCTATCACGTTGTTAACTTATACTTTTGTTGCAAATTGCTTGCTTGATATTCTGGAAAAGGAAAAGTCTTAAAGTATTTCCAAAGTGTGAGATAAAAATTTTATCAGGGTGCAGGGTGGATGTTATAAGTTTCCTTAGGACAACTTTCATTAGTCGTTTCAGGTTCACACAAAAGGTCGGTCGTTAATTTTCACATACATGTTCTGATGAAATTTCCAGGAACTTCCTCGGCTCCCTCTGGATTCCTGGACCCCAGGATATGTTTCCCCCTCTTATGCACTGAATGTTACCACAAAAAGTCATCATTTCAACATTATTAGCAACCTAATTTTAAATTTGAACTGTAGATTTAAACAGGAAATTAACATTTTGTAAGCTTAATGCCAATTTTCTGCGGACCTCGACTTGTAAAGACACTACAGAATTATTGCAGTTTTTATTAGAAATGCGTAGATTTTAGAGTAAAAATATATTCATCCTTGGTTTGTTCTTTCTTTCTTTTCATTCAGCTATTTTGCAACTGTTCGTTTATTTACACACACGCAAGCGATACTTTTCTTGCATTTCTTTTCATTACTTAAATCCCTCACCTGCAAATCCGGTTTGTTTTCTATTCAAAAGTTTTCTATTATGATTGCTAACACGGAGAATTAGTAGAAACCATATTTTTGTTTTATTTTAGTTTAAGAACAGCGGATATTACAATGTACAGATATTTATATCGGTTTCTGACGCCAGACTGGACTAAAGCAAGACAATGACTGAATCTAATAAGGGTATCGCACCCGGCCGGAAGTTACTGCCGGCTACTCAAACATCTAAAAGCGTCACCGCGGAAAACATAACGAATGCCGTTAACTTCCGGTGACTAAGCGTTTTTCAGTCAACGTCTCACACAAACTAAAAAAAACGAAACATTTACATATACTAACTTTCCTAACCAAAAAACAATTACCAGAAACCACTTTATATACACATGGTGTCCGAATGGAACCAATGTGTACAGCCAAAAAGTAGAAGTTAATTTTCAGTCATCACCCCAAATATATCGCTGACAGGCTACGTTGCCAACCTCAGCCTATATAAACACAGCGGATTTTTTCCACCAAATTATTATTCTCGGCTGAATTTTGGCCTCGGGGTTGAGCGACGAGCGCCCCCTCTCACCTTCGCTAACCACACGAAGCAGCTAGAGCCAGCAGCAGCTAGAGCCAGCAGCAGCCCAGCTTCATCAGCAGCAGCAGCTAGAGCCAGCAGAGCAGCAGCGAAGCGGACATCAGCAGCAGCCTATCCTCGGTTACATGATATGCACTAGCCTATCCTCGGTTACATGATATGCACTAGCCTATCCTCGATTACGTAATATGCAATAGTCCTTTACGAACGTCCTTTTATTAGGACTACAAAGCTGCGATCCTGCACGACAGTCTACCCAAGGACGAACTGACTACACCAGCGCTGTCCGCGTCGATCCTCTCTCTCCTCAAGCGCCGACGCGCTCTTTACTCAAGTACAGACATCCAGGGATCGACTGGACCTCGAACACCGCTGTTCCATCGGCCTACCTCCAAGCTGTCGCCTTGAAACCTGACAACGCTCTTTCAAAACTACACGACCGAACTACCACAAACGATTATTTGTATATACTTGTGCCAGATTATTTAATAAAATTTGGCTTAAACTTTTACATCCTCGTCTTTGTTGTCCTCGCTTCGATCTTATTACCTTATATTATTTTTCTGTCTGCGGGGTTAACAGTCAACCTGCTTAGCGCCTCAACAAGTGGTGACCCCGATATTTACGATCGAGCAAGATGGCAACTGACGAGTGGGAACAGAACACTCTCATAAATGTAGCCATGCCACTAACAAAACTCCCTCCGTACAACGAACAGAACACCAAGAACTGGTTTCTGCAGTTAGAAGCCGTTTTCACAGTACAGAGAATAACTTCACAGCAAGCAAAATTCGCCAACGTGGTACAGGTTTTGCCACCTTCAGTTGTCGATGAAGTAGCCGATATCTTGGAACATGTACCCGAGCAGGAGCCATATACTCGCCTCAAGGATGCGATTCTGAAACGAACCGGCCGTTCGGACGAGGAACTGCTCCGGGAACTTTTTACCCACGTCACCAGGGGCGACAGAACACCCTCACAGCTTCTACGCTTCATGAGGAGCCGACTGGGGAAACATTCCATGGCCGAATCAATCTTGCGCGAACTGTGGATGGACAAGTTACCCACTACCATAACGCAGATATTGTCACCAATCGCTGACAATACTCCACTGGCAAACTCCGCTGACCGCATCGCAACTAAACTGGACCAAGGAGTGTGTGCCGTGCCCAGACGACACAACAGCCAAAGAAACGGATCTGGAAAAGGCAACATCAGCTGCAGGATATACGAATGCTCCTTTCCCGCAAATCGAGAGGCCCGATGCCGGCGGTTAGCGACGGAGAGCACGGAGTACCAGCAGGGATCGACGAGTCGACCCGGAATTATGCTGGTACCATCACAGATTCGGCACCAGGGCAAGGAATTGCTCGGCACCCTGCAAATACAGCTCCAAAACCAAGTCGGAAAACTAAACAGCCGGCGGGTAGGGCAGGCAGAACCCCCGGCAAAAACATACGAAGCCGCCTTTTCTACGTATGGGACCGACGGAACCACATAGTTTTTAGTGGATACAGGAGCAGCAATCAGTGTGATACCCCCCAAAGAACAGCAAGACCGAAAGGCGATCCCGTATAAGCTCCAGGCAGCAAACGGCTCGACGATCGAGACATATGGAGCCAAGACACTGACTCTTAACATCGGTATGCGGCGCGATTTTACCTAGACTTTCACCCAGGCAGACGTAAAAACGCCAATACTCGGGGCAGATTTCCTGGCCCATTATGATCTAGCCGTGCACATGAACACGAGGACTTTATCAGACAATACCACGAACATTGCTGTTAAAGGCACCCTCTCTCGACACAACACCACTGGAATCAGTGTG